ATAAGTTAGTTAAAACTTTGCTAGCTGTTACTGTTTCTTCTTCTTTTCAATCAGTAGTGATGACTGTCACGATCACCTTTGAAGCCTCTTTTTCCCTGGTCTTCACAAGGTTCTCACTCTTCCTACCTCTTCACTGCCACCAGATGTTCATACTTTAATATCAGTTAAATGCTGGGACACGTGTGAGGCCAAAACATAAATCATTTATTCAACAGGGAAGAAAATAATCGATTAGGACTCATAGATTAAATTACAGGCTGCAAATCACTTGTACTGAATCTATTAGAATATTTCTCCTCAACTCATTTAAACCTCTGCTTCAATTTCCATGCTTACAGTTCTCTACTCAGTCTCCACTGCTCTTAAGCCACACACAAAACTCTCTCAGACTCTCTCTCCCGGTCTTTTATCTCAGTGGTCCCCAACCGTGGGCCTCCAGATGTTCTTGGACTTCAATTCCCAGAAATCCTGGCCTGCAGAAGTGGTGGTGAAGTCTTCTGGGAGTTGTAGTCCAAGAACATCTGGAGGCCCAAGGTTGGGGATCTCTCTTTTATCTAATCCACTCCCCCCTGGCTCCGCCTTCCATTCTCCCATTGGCTCCTGCGTGAATGTTCCGCATTGACGGGCGGGTGAAGTCTGGGCTCTTCGCTACAATGACTTTAATATGAGGAAGTTCCACCAAACAGGATCTAAGCATATTGGTTGTCATGTTCTAGAAAGTCAGGGAAATGGAAGTTGGTCAGGGAAAGTCAAGGAAATTGGTCTGAAGTCAGGGAAAGTCAGGGAAATTGTGATTAAAATATATTCAAGCATTGGATTTTGACCTGCTGCTTCAAGAGCGTGATCTGCTCTTGTGGCAACTGGAATAGAGAAGTAGCAGAATACTGAGTCTAAACTCCATTTTAAAGCCTGCTTGCACCAACAATTAGCAAGCATTATTCCAGCACAGAACTCCTCATCACAAAAAGAGAGCATGGGGTTGGGAGAGACTTGAGTCTAAACTCCATTATAAAGCCTGCCTGCCTGGCTGCCTGCATCTACAACCACCACAGCCCCTCACAGAATATTTTCTGATTTTAAAACAGACTTTAGAGCCACATTTTAAAACTAAAATCTACACTGTAAGACCCAGCAGAGCACAGAAACATAACCCCCCTACCTAGCCCTGCTCCCCCACCAAGTTGCAAAAAACCCTGTACAGTACAGTAAATATAGTGTACTCACCCAGGCAGTCTCTCTGTTTAAAAAAAAGGTCAAAAATCAAAAATTAAAAAAAAATACAGTCTGTTCAGTACACTAGGCAATACCAGGCAGTACCGTACAATACCAGGCAGTCTGTAGACTCTCTCCCTATCCACTCTAACTGCTTGGACGAGCAAGGTAGCAGAAAAGCACCCCCTTCGCTGGCCAGTGGTTAACTGAAAGTTCAAATTTCACGCTTTCTCCCATGTTTTTTTCTCGTTTGTATGTTGAAGCTCCGTTCGCAAGTAGAAGCAAAATTTTGCGAGCGGAGCTGTTCTATGACTGGAAGCATACTATTTCCCCTGAATTTTTGCTCCACCAGGTGGTTGGAGAATGTTAAGTGCCTTGACAGTGCTATGACTGTTTTTGACAACATCAAGAAGTATGTGGAAGAAGCAAAACTCCCTCACAGTAAACCTGTGTAATTTGTATAAAAGCTGCAATGCAAGATCCATTTATGAAGTGTAAAATGGCTTTCATGGAAGAACTGATGGAGATTGTGAGCTATTTCTACAAAGGTTTCAAAACCAAAAACTACTGGCACCTTTTTTTGTATGGAGAACTTTGTAAGCTAATCAAGAAGATAATGAGTCGTCGTATAAAATCGGAAAAGCTGCAAAACGTATCTTCTGGTTCCTAGTTGTTAACAATTGACATGAAATCGTCTAAGAACTTGATTGACAGAAGTAAGGGCTATGCAGCAAAAAAGCTGTTCAAAGAAACTAAACTGAGTGAATGTCAAGTGGCCTAGTTTTGTCTAGGGTGTCGAAACATGGTAGTAGCTGTTGTTGAAAAGTTGATTGAGAGATGTCCTTTGAAGTTCAAGATGGTGTGTGGCCTATCAGCATTAGATTCTACTATCATTTTATACAAACCAAATCTTGGAATCACTAGAATAGGGGCTGTTGTCTTGAACTGTGGAGGACTTGCATCTGTTGTAATTGACATGAATCTGTTGCATTCAGTCAAGCATGCTCATGCGCACTACACAGAGCACTTGGAGGCTAAACACCATAAGCAACAAGAAGAAATTCAGAAAACAGAAGAATAGAATGGACTTGAGGGACAAATTAAACATCTTGAAAATACTAAAAAAAGACAGAGAGAAGCCAAAATGGAAGAGGAAACAACTGATAGAAATGGTTGTTGTGGGTTTTTCGGGCTTCTTGGCCGTGTTCTGAAAGTGGTTCTTCCTAACGTTTCGCCAGTCTCTGTGGCCGGCATCTTCAGAGGACAGCACTCCGTGCTCTGGTGTAGTTGGCTTGGGAGTGCAGTATTTATGGCTGTGAGATAGGCTTTTGTCTTCTGTCCGCTGTCCTCTGAAGATGCCGGCCACAGAGACTGGCGAAAAGAAAACTAAGAGTTACAAATTAAAAAGAGAAAACTGTAGAAGTGATAGTTTTATATCTTAAATCTTTGTTCTTTAAAAACAGATTAATTGTATTCTAATTTCTAACTTTATTATTGCTGCAATTTCAACTGTAAGTCTTGTAATGTGACTCCAGAGAAACCATTTTAGATAGAACTTTTATATAATTTTTAGCATATCTTTAAAATAATAACGAAAATGTGATGTTATTTGTTAGCATTCAGAGTTTACTTGAATTGAAGTTTGTATCTTGGTGTAATTTTGATGCAATTGCAAAAGAAATGTTGCTGCAGTTATTTATTTTATTTTATTTTATTTATACCCCACCCATCTAGACCTAAGTCTACTCTGGGTGGCTAGCAATAAGACATAAAAGCAAAAGCAATATAATTAACAGCAGTGACAATATAATTCAAAATGGGAAAGTCATTAGGTGATGACAGGATGGAAAGGCTGCCTAAAGAGCCAGGTCTTTAGTTTGCTCTTAAAACACCCTGTGAGGAACCAGGCAGATCTCTGTGGGCAGACTATTCCAGAGGTGAGGGGCCACTGCTGAGAAGGCCCAGTTTCTTGTTCTTTCTCTCTGGGCCTTTCTCGGTGTTAGGCCCATCAGCAGCCCATCCTGGCTAGAACAATTGATTCAGGTAGATCTAGGTAAAATTATTCGGGTAAATCTCTTACTTTGACAAATATTTTTGCAGTTGAGACTTGTGTACTTGTAGAGTGGAACATTTCATTAAGACTTGCATTAATGCAACATGACTTATCTATTGTTTAACTTGTGTTTATATTTGAATGGTGGTCAGGGAAATTGACAAATGTCGATCGGGGAAAGTCAGGGAAATGAAAAATAAAATTTCAGTAGCAACCCTGATTGTTCTTACTATAGGTCTGAAGATTTTATTACATTGAGTTTCCATGTTCTTGAAAAGAAGACTGAGTACAGTATTTAAAAACCACAAAGCTTTAACTGCTGCGTTTTAAAATTATTATTTTTTCCCTCACACACATACAGTGCAACAGTACAGTAGGGCCTCACTTAACAGGTGCCCCGTTTAACAACGAATCCACATAGCGATGAAGATTTTGCGATTGCATTGCGATGTTCCCTATATTTCCCCATACGCCCCATTTTTCGCCCAACTGATTGGCGGGGTTTCAGGATGATCACGGGGAAGCGCTTCCCCCCATCATCCCGAAGCCCCACCGATCAGCTGGGTGAAAATGCGGGCTTATTTATTTGTCATTTATTTATTTATTTATTGGACTTATATACCGCCCCATAGCGCTACAAGCACTCTCCGGGCGGTTTACAATTTTTTAATTATACAGGCTACACATTGCCCCCCCAGCAAGCTGGGTACTCATTTTACCAACCTCGGAAGGATGGAAGGCTGAGTCAACCTTGAGCCAGCTACCTGGGATTTGAACCCCAGGTCGTGAGCACAGTTTTAGCTGCAGTACAGCGTTTTAACCACTGTGCCACGAGGCTCTTCCCCCCATCATCCCGAAGCCCCACCGATCAGCTGTGTGGAAACGGGGCATTTGCGATGATCGCGCGGAAGTGATCATCGCAAATGCTGGTTTTCGCACAGCTGATCGGCGGTTTCAAAATGGCCGCCAGGTAAATAAAATGGCTACCCACAGTGTTTTCGCGCCCTTTCCTTGCTTACCTTAAAGGTGACTTTCCCCCCATAAGAACACATTAAACGTGTTTTAATGCATTCCTATGGGCTTTTTTGCCCCGCATAGCAACAAATCCGTATAGCAACGATTTTTTCGGAACGGATTATCGTCGCTATGCGGGGCACCACTGTATAATGAAGAACATTGGTCTTACAAATAATCCACAACATCATTCCCCCACTGTGAGATGACTTTCTGAAGTTGCTTTCCACTGGAAAGCCAATAAGATGGCAAAATTGAAATAAAAACAAGTAACCTTTTCTACAAGGAGGTTACCTAAAAGCACTTAAGAAGGACAGGATAACACCAGTAGCAGAGTGTTGACTATTGACCCCAGTAGGGTTCCCCCCCCTTCAACTGAGATCTTACATTTTTAGAAGCCTTTGAGCTATCAAACTGTTAATAGCTTTTTCATGGCGCTGAATCTACGTTTCATAAGAATTATTTTCATTTTTTATCTTTTTTTTGAATGCTTATAAACAGCACATTTTCATCATGCAGCATGTTACATGAGTTCCCATGAGAGCCTTAAATCAACATGTTAAATGTTAAACAAGCTTTAAAGCTATCATCTCTGCAGTCTAAATTCAGTAGTATCGAATTATATATTCTCTGCTGTTACGAATTAATGCGAAATGTTCTAGATCTCTCCTATACTGATTTTTAATCTATCTTTAATAGCTTCTTTTTGAATTTATTTCAGACGAATGCTTTGAACAATACGTAGAGACGTTATGGCCTGCCTTACAGTGACAGAGATGGAAGGGACTGCATCATCCACCATTCATCAGAATGGCAGCGTTGTTGGGAATTCAACTCTTCCTAGACAGACGGAGCCATTGTTTCGGGTTTACCTTTATCATTCCCCAGAAAAGGCTGAAGGCGATTATCTGCACTTTCCAGCTGGACAGTATGTTGCAGAAGAGATCTGTATTGCTGCTTGTAAGGCTTGTGGTAAGATCATAACCAGTTCTCTTAAACTTTTTTCTTTGGATCTTGACAAGAAACACAGATGGCTCAGTTCATGCTTTCCTGGGATTGAATAGAGGAGACTTCTATTCCTCCTGTTTAGTTGAAGCATCTTTATGCTAATAGGCAGTGCTAACTGTCAACCCATCTTTCTGGCCTCATATAGTCCAATACTAAACCAAGGCTGAGTGTTTCAGGCAATAGCCTCAGGTTCCTTTTCCCTCTCCTCTGGGAACAGCCAGGAGAAAAGCTTTCACTACTCTTGCCAGTTCACTGCATTTGAAGTTTTGGGCCTAACAGTTTTATTTACAGTGTCTGAAACAAGCTAACTTTTTGAACCTTGGTTTATTGTTGGCTTGTTTCAATAAACTGTAGATAAGACTACTTATAATTAGAGGGCCAGTAGACTAATTCTTCACGTAAGCACAGCATTTCTCTATACCCTTGGAGAAAGGAGGAGTCTGGACAAACCCCTGTTTCTCAGAAATTGTGACCTTTCTTTTGAAAACATCAGTTCCTCATTTTCTCTAGCAGCAGGTCAGCTTCTCCAGTTAAGTAAAGGAAGCTGTTGGTGGGCCAAATAGATAGTAGAACATGTTTTCAGAGGAGTTGCACAACTCTGATGTTAGACAGATGAGGTTACAGTAAATTTTCTGCTTCTCCTCAGAACAAACTGTCAAGTGGCCAAAGGAGAATTCACATTCATGTGCCAGTGGAAAAGTGTGAAGAAAGACTAAAGACTGCACATTTTCTCTCTCTTGGGCAGAAAAACTGCATCCGAGAGAAATCCAACAGTTACCTAAGGAAATAACTCCATTTTGTAGAATTAAAGAATATTTAGGTCCAAATGTAAAAGCAAAAAAGCAAAAAAAAAGAAAAAGAAAAAAAAAGAAAAAATAAAAGGCTTTCACGGCCGGGATCTAATGGTTGTTGTGGGTTTTTCGGGCTCTTTGGCCGTGTTCTGAAGGTTGTTCTTCCTAACGTTTCGCCAGTCTCTGTGGCCGGCATCTTCAGAGGACAGCACTCCGTGCTCTGGTGTAGTTGGCTTGGGAGTGCAGTATTTATGGCTGTGAGATAGGCTTTTGTCTTTTTCTGTAGATGGGTGATTAGTGTGTATTGTTGTGGGGGCATTGTTGTGCTAAGGAGAAGAGATTATCTGTTCCTGTGGTTGATGGGTGTCATTAGCTGGTCTTTTGTGTGTAGTGATTCCCCTGTCCTTGTGGCAGGGTAGAGTTCATTGACCTTTTGCATGTTCCCAGCTCTCAAAAATACAGTGTGCAAAAGGTCAATGACTCGCAAGACAAATGTTCCTATGGCCATGCCTCACAAGGCAAATATTTTCCGTTTTTTGTTCCTGCCTCATGTTTGCTGATTTTTAAATGTTTTTCTATGATGTTTAAAAAGTTAAAGTTTTTTAATTGAAATTTTTGAAAATCATCCCCACAATATATATGGCTTAGTTTAAAGACCACTTAATAAACACTTTGTAAACCAAATTTGACTTTGTTCTGTCTTTCTTTGCCCATAGGAACGCATTAATTAGATTTCAATGCATTCCTATGGGAAAAGCGTTTTGCAAGACAAATTTTTCGTAAGACATTAACTGCGGAACGAATTAAATTCATCTTGTGAGGCACTACTGTATTAAAAAATGAGGGAGGGAAGAGAAGACAATAATCACCCATGCAATATTTTAAAAATAATCCATGAAGTTAGTCCATCTTAGCTAACTATATACAGTATTACCAACTTGAGTACCATTTTGGTTTTCAGATAGTATTCTGAGTTCTTCTGTAAAGAGAATGGTTTGGGAGATAACATCTTGAAATGTAATATACAGGAATTCTCAAACCCAGATTTCTTAGAGATTTAATCAAGAAATCAAAGTCCTGACAGATAGTGAATTCAGACTCCAGCAGCTATTTTTGTCCTATGGAGAAGACAAGGGAAATGGATAGGTGAGGCTCAGCTCTATGGCAGTTGCAAGGGATTATAGGTATGATGTGATGGTCTCTGGCCATTCAGCCCTGCACAGTCTCTCAAAACCCCAACCAGGTCCATAATCTCTTTAGCACCCACAGAGCTTAAAACTGACGATGGCACACAAGAGTTATTAACACCTATTTTCTTGGTTAATGTCCCCAGAAGTCGGGGGGGGGAGGATTCCTTCTGGGGGCTGTAGTCCATAAATTCTGAAACCTTTGTGCCTAAATATTATGAGGAACCCAGTAGAGAGTCAATAAACTCTCGCTTTCATGGAGTCTTGAGGTTCAGTAAAAGTTGTCCTTTACCAGAGACTGACTGTTGGACTATGCCTAACTTTGAGCACTGTATCATCCCTCCCCCAGTTCTTTGAGTATTTTATGTTGTGAAGCTGATAAGTATTAGGCCTACAATGAACTCGCATTACAGAAATTTCAGGATAAATTGTACACTGGTATCTCGACTTACAAATGTCCTGACTTATGACCATTTCGAGTTACGACCAGTTCTGTCTGCAAAATTTTGCTTTGACTTGCGGCCGGAGCTTCGAGTTGTGATGGGAAAAAGGCGAGGGGGGGGAAGGCGGGGAATTCAAATCTGGTAACCGTTGGTAGGAGAAGAGGCTGCTTCTTTGTACCTCTTTTGCCACAACTAGTTAGAGTGAGTGCATCGGAGGAGGCTTCGGGACTGCCTGGAGCTGCTTTCTGCTCCTGAATAAGTACATTTACTTTGTTTTGCAGGGTGGGTTTGGGTTTTGGGGAGAGCTATGTTTCTGTGCTGTAATTTTTTTTGTGTTTTGGTGTGTTTTTCCCCGCAGCCCCATGATGTTCCACTGGGACTGGCTGTGTGTGTGGGGGGGGGTTGAGTGTTTTCCCCAGCCCCATAGCTTTCCACTGGAGCTGACTGTGTGTGGGGGTGAGTGTTTTTTCCCAGCCCCATAGCGTTCCACTGGGGCTGGCTGTGTTATTTGTTTTGTTTTGGTGTGTTTGTTTTTCGGCCCCAGCGTGTTCTGCTGGGGCTGGCAGTGTTTTCTTTTTAGTTTTTTATTTTATTTTGGGGTGTGTGGTTTTTTTTCCAGCCGGAACGGATTAATGGGGTTTCAGTGTATTCCTATGGGAAATGATGCTTTGACTTACAAACATTTCGAGTTGTGCCCATCTTCTGGAACGGATTATGGTTGCAAATCGAGGCACCACTTTATATTTAATTTGAATGTTTAAAGCATTAATAGAACCATTAAGAAACATAAAAATAAAGGGGATTTTACAAGCTAAGTTCTGTTTTGGCAGAAGAGAGTAACCCAGATAGCAGCTCTTGCAGTGAAACAGGATTTGCTAGCTCTGGCAATTGTTGTGGAAAACTGTAAGTGAAACTACATGGCTGTGAGAAAAGATGGCAAGAATGCTAGAGGTCACAGACAGGGCTTAATCCTCTGGCTGACTTGGTTGTCATTCCAGATGGAAAATCTTAGCACCAGAATGCTTTTCTGCTCTGTGGATTGATACTCTGTTACATTTTAAACCTTCTGCAAAGTACATGTTCTAGTTTGTTGGCTTTGTGCAGTGTCTTTCAGTGGTCACTGTTATGCAAAGTTGAAGTGAGTTGATAATCCCTTAAAACATAAGGTTCTCTAGTGTAACCACCCTTTTTGGAGCAGAGCATATGTTCCATATAACTATTGAGTGGCTGGCAAAAATGGAAATATGTATCTTTCCCCTGATATGCAGAAAATACAAAATCTCCAGTAATGCTGTGCAGAAAATTTATCCCATGATCATTTCAACCAGTCTCAGCCAGTATGACAGGAGAAAAGAGTCCTTCAGAAAGAATTTCAAAAGAGGAGAGATTTTGGAGATACAGTGGTGCCTCGCTTAATGATGTTAATTGGTTCCCAAAAAAAACATCGCTATGGGAAAACATCGCTAAGCGAAACACCATTTCCCATAGGAATGCATTGAAAACCGGATAATCCTAATGGAAACAGATTACCGTCCTTAAGCGAAAATCGCCATAGGAAACATCGCTAAGCGAAACAATGTTTCCCCCATTGGAATGCATTGAAGCCTATTCAATGCATTTCAATGGTATTGACAGGTCCGTTTTTGCTATTTTTAAGTGTGTCAAACCTACAGTTGGTTCAATGCATTCCAATGGGGGGGGGAAATTCACCAAAAATTAATGAAGACTCAGAACAAAGCCAAATTAAGTTTGCAAAGGTTTTACAAGGTGCACTAACGATCCCAAGCATTTAAAACAGTTTTTGAACATTTTAAGACACACTTAAAATAGCGAAAACAGACATCACTAAGCGAAACAGGGGGACCTAAACTGTCATCGCTAAGCGAGGCAAGGTCCTGAACATCGCTATGCGAAATTTCCCCATAGGGAACATTGCTAAATGGAGCGCAAAATCGCTCCAAAAACCTCATCGCTAAGCGAATACATCGTTAAACGATGCACTTGCTAAGCGAGGCACCACTGTATCCTCATTGGTGAAGTCCAGGATTTCTGTGTTTATCTCACATATTAGGTGGCCGAGAAGTGTTTGTGTACTGTATTTCACTGTAGAATCACCTCTGGGGCAGCTGGGGCATACCTAGGTTCCATGCTTGGATGAAAGCCCAAGGGAAGATGTCATGAAGTAATTATCCTTTCACAGTTTTTTTTTCATGGTTAGGAGGTATAAGCAACCAGGGAAACTCTAGAGGGATAATGCGATGTCTAGTACAAAGAACATTACAGCAATCTTCCACTTGCAGTGTCATGATAAACTCAAAAGTTAGAAGAAATTCTAAAGGGCCATTAGAATGACCTTGAGAAACGGAAGCCCACTGCACAGGGAAATAAAACAGCTGGGAAGTTGGAAGGTAAGTGATAATATTAGCTTTATCCTTTCCATGGAGCTGGACACAGCACTTCCCTTGCTTCTACTGGCTGCAGGTGTTACAGGGAAGGAGTTGTGTTATAACAATGTAGTTAACAATGTTAACTACAATGATTCT